GGAGCCTGATGCAGGGCTCGATCCCTCAGGACCTGAGCCGAAGGCAGATGCTTAACGACTGAGCCACCCAGGCGCCCCGGAGACAGAAAGTCTTTCCAAGACCTTAGGAATGGAGGTTCATAAGAAGTGAGTTTATAATAACATATGTAAGGGGGGTGGGGGAGGAGTGTCAACGGCAGAAAGTAGCCAAACAACAAAAGCAAGTGAAAAAACAAAACCGCCAATAAGTGCTCAGCATCCTCAGAGGAAACAAACAAGGCCTCAGTGAAATGTCCCTTCTGATGTTCACCTCCTTTTGCTCCGAATTCATACTCATCCAACAATCTTTTAGTTACTACGTATCACCTTGAACCCATAAGGAGACACCCAGAATATGGGTCCAGTATATATGTCAGGGGACAGGGGCCCCTCTAGTGTACATTGTATATTATACCCTTTCAGCTTTCAGCCCGTCCCTGAATGGGGTCATCTACATTTAGACAGAAGCCCAGCTTCTCTATCATACTCCAGAGACCGGGCCACATCTACCTACTCACTCTACCCATGGCACCGCAACATACTTAACTGGTCCTGCTTCTGTCATATCCTGGGTCCAAAGGGCTGAAAAGTAACCCCTCACAGGTCAACAATAACCACGATTACAGCCCAGGATGCTGGAATCTGAGCCCTGAAAATTCCCAACCTACATCCTGAGGCAGCAGAGTACACGGACCAAGGAAATGGGAGTAGGGCCACACCACCTGGGTTCCAATCCTGACTCTACACTAACCAATGGCATAACCTGGCTCCTAACTAAAGGCATTAACTAATATCTATACAAGACTTAGCACAAAACCTCACACGTAGTAAACACTGATTATTAACATTTGTTTGGCATGGTAACAAACACAGGACTACTTAAAGAACGTAAGTCACTCCGAAAAACGTCAACTGGCTAAATGAAAAGCATCAGTGGTTCTCAGAAAAGAGGACTCTACTTTCAAACAGCCCCCGGTCTGTCCAGTTTCTCCATTTCTACGGCCCTAGAAAAAACCTCCAGTACCCTTCGTCTGCACCACTGCAGTAACCTAACTGACCAGCCCTTTTCTACCACTCCCTGTGTCTACTCCTGTCCATCGACAACCCATTCTTTACTCAGCAGCTGGAAGGGTCTTTGGAAAACCTATGTACGTCACGCTGCCCCCTTTCTTTACAGCTTCTCAGCCTGGTCTGGCCTCTGGCCATCTTGTGTCTGTCCCCCTCCTGCTCCCCCACAACCCCAACCACATAGGCCTTCCTGCCACTGTCACAAAAGCACCAATCCTCTTCTACCTCAGGACCTTGGCAATGGCTGTTCCCACCATGCTATTCTGCCACCTGCTCTGCCTAAGGCTGACCTGGTCTTGTAAGTCAGACCTTGCCTGAACGTCACCTCCTTAGTGGAGCCTTCTCTAATCACCCAACCTTCGACATTACCAGTTTTAATACTAAATGTAACTCAACTCTGACATTTTCTTTTTATCTGAGTAGTTTCTTCATCATTCTTTGTCATCTGCCTCCCTCCACCAGAATGCAAACTTTCCAAGAGCATGGATTCTGTCAGCCTTTTTCAACAGTACATGCCCAGGACCTGGAAGGGGACCTGGTACGTGGTAAGTGCTCAATAAATATCTGGAGAGTGAAAAAATGAGCAAACATTTCAAAAGCCAAAGTGTATGGTTTCTATCTATTAGGATGTTCTTTATCTTGAGAGGGTGAATACAGTCATGTTAAGAACTCAGAGCCAGGAGCCTGACGTGCATGGGTTTGAATTCTGTCTTCTGCTATTTATGCGCCATGTGATTTTGGGAGAACACCATACCCTCTGTCACACTTTCATCTTCTTTCAAAAGGGGCTAACATTAGTGCCTTCCTCATGAGGCTGCTATGAGGATTAAGGTTTGTAAAGTGGCTAAAACTTTGCTTCTCCCTCACAACCACCCATGGCTAGAACACAGTAAATACTATGTAAATGTCAACTAGCACTACTGATGCTGGAAAGCTCTCTTTATTCTTTTTTTTTAAATTTTTATTTATCTATTTGAGAGCGAGAGACATCACAGAGGGAGAAGGAGAAGCACATTTGCTGCTGAGCAGGGAGCCCAACATGGAGCTCGATCTCAGGACCCCAAGATCATGACCTGAGCTGAAGGCAGATGCTTAAGCAACTAAGCCACCCTGGCGCCCCTGGAAAGCTCTCTTTATATAAGTCCTTTATATAAGTCCTCTGCATTTTTTTTAGGTTTATAGCAATTTTATCTATCTTATTGCCATTGTAAATAGAATAATTTCTTTCACTGAATTTCCTAAGCAGATAACTATTTATAAGTAGGAAACCTACTGATTTTTAAAGTGATTTTGTACCAAGGTACCTTACTGGATTCTCCTCAAACTCTTCAGATTCCAACAGAACAACTTCCCTAATTCTCTATCACTGTCCTACTGCCTCATTCCCATTTCTGCAACCAGTTGCTGTTCCCATTACTCCACTCCATCTCTTTTGCTGCCTAACACACATACACACTCACACTCTGTTCTGGAAATATTACCAGCAACACCCACCACTACCGTCATCACTAAATCCAATTTAAACTTTCATGATCTAACGTTACTGGACCTCTGTGGGATATCTCACATGGCAACTGGTTTTGAGGTTTCTTTTTCTTGAACTCTGGAACACAGGTCTCTTCTCTTCTCTCATCTCTACTGGGCTCTCAGTCTCCAGCCCTCTCCTGCTACCTTCCCTTGTCAATTCCCTGGGCACCATCCTCAGTCCTCTCCTCGTTCTGCACACTCTCCTTGAGCTAACTGGCCAAATCAGTGCAACCTGTCCTCGTTCTGCACACTCCCCTTGAGCTA